CCGGGTCGCGAGCGAGCCGACCCCCGTCCGATTTTCCCGCCCCCCCCGGCGTCGCCATTTGCTTTGATTCCGGTGAGAGGTTTTTTATTTCCCTGGGTCCTTCAGGCCCTCGAGACGAACAATGCGGAAGGCCGAGAGATGGACACGTTTTCAGGGGCAACGTACGTTTCCAGACCGTCTGCTTTTCCCGGTCCCACCCCCACCCCGAGCGGCGATTAAAGAGTATTTTTGAAGCCTAGGCATAGTGGATAAAAAAAGCGATTCGGGTTTAGTAGAGATTAGATGCGCACCCCACTCTCTCACGGCTTGGCGGAACGTTTTGAAGGCCTTGTAAGACGCGCTGTCCTGGAGATTCGGTGGATTTCTCAGTTCTGGGTAGCTGCTCTGCTTGACCCGGAGTGGGTGAGCAGTGAAGGGAATTTGTGGAAACTGCGCTGGGCCGTCAGGAGACCGATTAGCCGAGTGACCTTGGGTAAGACAGGACGCTCACCGACTCTCAGTTTTGTCATCAATAAAGCTAACGATTTCCTCAAAAGGCCCTTCCGACTTTGGAATGATTTGATTTGGTCGATATAACTGAAGAATTCAACTGCAGCTTAGTCTGACACTGTCCCCTCCCTCCCTCCCTCCCTCCCTCTCCTGCTGTGCCTCCATACACAATAAGACACTTTCATTATAGAGAGTGGCTGTTACATGGCCTGGGACCAAAGAAAGCATTTATTGTGCGGGCCAGTGCTAGGCGGATTGGAGGCGGTCAATAAAGACTTGTTGAGTTGAATTGTGGAGAATTCATTGTAACCACATCCACAGAGCACTGTTATTGTATGTGCTGGCCAAGTGTGGAGAAACAGCTTTATTACATAGGGAACCATAATGAAGGTTTGCCCAAGAATGTTTCTCCAGGTGTGTTATCCTCTTTAAATTGCCGTGCAAGGTTCTTGTTCATTATTTCACGCAGGTTTCACCAATCCTAAGATACAGGCAGGGAAGGTAACCTCTTCATATCATAGTCTTTATCTAAGATTCTGCTTTAAGCGTTTAAAGTTTTTCTCATGTTTATATATTCCATCAAAATGCAAATTAGTTGTATGTTAAATCTTACCTTTTCGTCCTGTGGCAGTATCAATATTCTATGGGTAGTTAACTGTCTTTTAAGGTAGCTGATTCGTATTAAAACATTATAGCTCTGCTTTAAAAAGATGGGGGTAGCCGGCTCGGTGGCTCAGCCTGTAATCCTGCACCTTTGGGAGGCTGAGGTGAGTGGATTGCCTGAGCCCGCGGGTTCGCGACCCGCCTGGGCAGCAAGACCTCATCTCTACCATAAATCAAAAAATCAGCCGGGCGTGGTAGCGCATGCCTGTAATTCTGGCTACATGGAAGGCTGAGGCGGAAGGATCGCTGGAGCCCAGCAGGTCGAGGCTGCGGTGGCCGGAAGCGGCCACTGCACTCCAGTCTGGGTGACAGAGTGAGACTCCAACTCAAAAAAAAAAAAGGGGGTAGAGGATCAATTTATTTACACTTTCAAAACTATGTCCTGGAAAATGGGCTGTTTAGAAAACAGCTTTTGAAATAAACTGAGCTTTTACCTTCAAACCCTTTGTATTTATCCTTGGTGAAAACTGAGGGTATCCTTGGCTGCTGGGGGTAATCTTATCTAGAGCAGATGGTGTGTCAGAATGTTTTTCAGTGTAGTGTGACCCAGAGGTAGTTTCCTACTATTTAGAAAGCTCCCTCTCGCCCCTGATTTGACTGACAGGGATGCTGAATGCTAAAGAAGTTAAATAACTCACTTAGGGTTGTATAGCTTACTTGTGGGAGACTAGGATTCAGTTGTTCCAGCCCGTACCCCTTTCACTGTTACAGGATTTCTCCCACCGTTTAATCTTTTGAGCAGACTGAAAATTGGAACGTGCAGTTACATTTCTTTAGGTTTGTTGAAAAAAAATTTAAAGATCATTTTTTAGGCAGACACTGCTTAAGTACTTCATGTATGTTAACTCATTTAGTCTTCACAACAACTCAGGCAAATACTGCTTTTCATTCCCATTATGCAGTTGAGGAACCTGATGGACGAAGAGGTTAATTTGTTCGCTGCTCTAATGTCATCAACTGGTAAGTGGTTGGATGCTTTAACGCTCACATGAAGCTCTTCCAAGTAGCCCGTGGAACAAATTTGAAGGCAAAACTGATTGCAGAATGAATGGGCAAAAAAGAGTAACACTAAATTCAGTCAAGTCTTTTTAAACTAATACTTGCAAGGAATCATGCTAAGGAGTCTAAGAAGGACAGAGAAGCATACCTTTAACAAGAGTCTAGTGAGGAACAAGACAAGAAAAACTAGATTGTAGAGAAAGAAGCATCATAAGAAATTACATAGCAGATGCTTGGTGAAGACCATTTAGGACCTCTAGAGGCAGAAGAGCAGATTGTGCTCAAATCATCTGAGAAACCCCAAATATTTCAGCCCTTCTGCTGCTGTTGTAGGTTTTCTCTGGCCCAGAGGAGAAGCTGAGAAGTACTGAGGGTGGGAAAGGACCTCTTCCGATCAGGGCAGTAGGAGTTTGTCCACACCCTTGTCTCTGTCCCTTCGGGCCCACTTTCTCCTCAAAGTGCCGTCTTGTTGATTCCACTGACCTAAGGAGTGTCGTGCTCCGTAGCTGAGACAGGATAAAACGCTCACAAAGGTAGAGGTTTCTGATGACTGGACTAGCTCCCACACTCAGTTCTGCTCAGTTATCCTGCTTGAAGGCCCCAACTGGTTAGAGTGTAAATAGTCCCTACTTGCACCTCCTGCTGCGTCTCCTCCAGGAATGGCTTCAGTCACATAGTGACCCTCTGGTAAAAATGGTGGTAGATGGGGTCATTTCCTGAGGTCATTCTTCACGATCACCTTCAAAGGCTTTCATTTTAGAAAGACTAAACACAGAAGCCCTTTCTTAGCCCACATGTTGGGTACAGGATAAATTTGGTTTGATGGTTAAAGAGCTTGAACTGAAGAGTCACAGACTTAATCATGGCTCTAGCATTTATTTGCTTGATGACCTTGCATTAGTTATTTAATGGCAATAGACCTTGGTCCTTTCGTCATTAAATGTAAGTACCTCCCACGATTGTTACGTAGTCAAGAGAAATGCTTCATACCTTGTACCTAGAAAGCACACGATAAATGTTGGCTGTTACTATTATACCTACTAAAGCAGGGGTCTAGTCATTTAACTTCTCTGGCATTTAGTATACTTATCCATCAAGTAAGGGAAAGGGAGGGGGGCATTCCAAATAGTAGGAAGCTATCTGGGTAGTTGGCAGGGAACCAGGCTGCACAGCAGGAGATGAGCAGTGGCGGCAAGCAAGGCCTCACCTGTATGGACAGCCACTCCCCATCCTCACATGCTGCCGTCTGCTGTCAGAGCTCCGCCTGCTGTCAGATCAGCAGCGGCATTAGATTCTCAGAGGAGCACGAACTCTATTGTGAGCTGCGTGTGCGAGGTATCTAGGTTGTTTGCACCTTAAGAGAATCTCATGCCTGATGACCTGAGGTGGAGCTGAGCCCGTGGTGCCAGCACTGGGGAGCAGCTGCAAATACAGATTAACGGTAGCTGTGGGGTTTGGCTGCACGTGTCCCCGTTCTCCCTCCCCTGCCTTCCATGGAAAAGCTGTCTTCCACGAAATGGGTCCCTGATGCCAAAAAGGTTGGGGACCACTGTACCAGAGGGTTCTTGCACAGCAGCTAGAGACGAGTAGCATTTTAGCTTAGCCTGTGAAGGATAAGTAGTATTTGAAAAGGCAGGTGGGGAAGGAAATCCCAGGCACTGAGAATGGCGTGAGGAAGGGATGGCAGTCAAAACACAAGGCGTACGTAGAAAACACTGATGAGAGATAGAGAGGGTTCATAGGGGGTTGGATGGAAATGAGGCTTGAGGGGAATTGGGACCAGGGCCTGGGGGATATTGACTGCAAGGCTGTAGGGTTTCAGGAAGGACGATCGAAGAGTAAGGTGGGTTGTGGGAGGGTAGGGAGAAACTGGAGGCAGGAAACCAAAGAGGAAGCTGGACTTTCAGGGTTAGATGGAAAAACAGGTCTCATCAAAGAATTAATTATTTGTGCTTGGAGACTGAATGCATCTTAAGAAGGGAGAAATCAAAGAGGGTAAGGTTTTGAGCCTAAGTGACAGGTTAGTGGAATATCATAATCGCTAACTGCCACTAAGGGCTACAAGAAACTATCAAGGGAAGCTGGAATAGTTTGGATAGTTAACATCTGTTCAGTTTAACAGTTAATTGCCAGGTTCTCTAAGATAATACAAAGAAGACAAGAGTCTCTGTCCTTGGGGGGGGTGTTAAATTTAGTTGAGAGGCAGAAACAAACTGCAACCCAAATAATGATACTATAAGGAGACTGTAAGTGCCATGAAATGGCAACAGAAGTGCCAAGGATATTCAAAGGAGGAAGATACTTTATTTTATTGGGGATTTGAGGACAAATTTATGCTTCTAGAAAAGTGAGTTTAAAAAACTGACCAATAGAGTTGATATAATGGAGGTTGTTAATAGTAGAAGAGTGAAGATTAAAAACCATGACCCACGCTTGGGGACATGAATGGGCTAGATTGACTGAAATATGGAGGATCGCTACAACAGAAGCGGTGGGAGGTTAAGATGGGCGAGTGGAGTGTGTGGTAAAGGCTCTGGAATGCCAGCGGGATTCACTAGCAGCGAGCAGCAAGAGGGAATGACCAGAAGCCTGCCTTAACAAGACTGCTGACCTTGTCATGTTGTGTGCACTGGAGCAGAGAGAAACTGGAACAAGAGAAACTGTGGGGCCATGGTGCTGGTCTCAGCAGGAGCTAGAGAACCCGCATTAGGTCGGTGGAAGGTAATGGTGGGAGGCATAGCAGGAAGAGTCACCGCCTTCCTGCGTTCGTTTTAGGGTGAGATGGAAAAGAAACTTAGGCTTGTCGAAATGACTTCACCTCCAGTTGGGAAAAGGCAGGTCAAAGGAATGGTCTCTTGGTTCCCCTAGGCCCTGCCTCTTCCTGGAGAGAGCGTGTCTGTACTTGACACCCAGCTCCAGGAGTACCTCTTTCAGGAAACTCCCTTCTTGTGGACCCATCGGTTGCTGCTTCGGGCTGGCTCCTCTCGCACTTGTGTTAAGATCTGAGAACTTTCTGCTTTGTGCTGTGTTTGTGTAAAAGTTGGAATCGTGCTGCCCATCTTTTCATTCCCCTCGCTCTTACAGGACGTCTTGCACATTGTAGGTGTAGATATGCACCAGATGTTGAAATGGAATCATTGTGGCTATAATGGCTTAAGAGGTAAAGCCGACCTGATGTTGAAAAGCCAAGTATACTTACCCCAGCAAAGAGAGTGGGGTGCAAAACAGGAACAAATATGGTTGGCAGTGGGACGTTTACCAGTTTAAAATCACTGGAAAAATTACTTAATCTCCAAGCCTGGGGAATTGGTTCCAGGATACACACACCACCACCACCATCACCACCACCACCCCTCCCTCGTGCCCCCATACAAAATCCACAGATGCTCAAGTCCCTCATATAAAATGGTGTCATATTTGCATATCCTCCAAGATACTTTTTTTTTTTCCTCTCAAGCTCTGCAGACTCAAAATTTTTTTTCTTTTTTCTTTTTTATTGAGAGAGAAGATCTCACTCTGTCACCCAGAGCCTGGAGTGCAGTGGTGCAATCATAGCTTGCTGCAGCCTTGAGCTCCTGGACTCAAGCAGTCTTCCTGCCTCAGCCTCCCGCATAGCTAGGACTACAGGCACGTGCTGCCATGCCCAAGTAATTTTTTTTTTTTTTTTAGTTGGAGTCTTACTCTGTCGCCTAGGCTGGGGTGCAGTGGTATGTTCACAGCCACCCTAGCATCAACCTGCTGGGCTCTGGCTGTCCTTCCGCCTCAGCCTTCCCAGTAGCCAGAACTACAGGCATGCACTACCACACCTGGCTAACTTATTTATTGTAGAGACAAGGTCTCCCCAAGTTGCCTGGGCTAGTCTTGAACCCACGGGCTCAGGCAATCCACTCACCTTGGCCTTCTAAAGTGCTGGGATTACAGGCTGAGCCACCAAACCCGGCTAATTTTAAAAAAATTTTTGTAGCAATGAGGGCTTGGTCTTGAACTGGTCTTGAACTCCTGGCTCAAGTAGTCCTCCCTCCTTATCCTCCCAAAGTGCTGAGATTATAGGCATGAGTCACTGCACCTGGCCCTCCCATATACTCTAAAATCTCTAGATTACTTATAAAACCTAATACAATATAAATGTTATACAAACAGTTGTTGCACTGTATTGTGTGTGTGTGTGTGTGTGTGTGTGTGTATTTTTTACTTTCTCAAATATTTCTGATCCACAGTTGATTGAGTCAGCTGATGGGAAAACCTGTGGCTATGGAGGGATAACTGTAGTTTCTTTCTTTTTTTTTTTTTTTTAATTGGAGTCTCACTCCATTGCCCAGGCTGGAGTGCAGTGGCACACTCACAGCCACCCCAGCGTTGACCTGCTGGGCTCCGGGAATCCTTCTGCCTCAGCCTTCCAAGTAACTGGAACTACAGGCGCACTCTATCACACCCGGCTAATTTTTTTATTTATTGTAGAGACGAGGTCTCACCATGTTGCCCAGACTGGTCTAGAACCGTGGGCTCAGGCAGTCCTCTCACTTTGGCCTCCCAAAGTGCTGGGATTACAGGCTTGAGCCACCGCGCCTGGCCTATATACTGTTATTTTAGTAAAGATTTCTATTTTTCATTAAGGACAAAAAGATGAGGTAGAAAAAATTAATCCGGTAAATAAATCTCAGATTAAAATTATAGTCTTTGTGATTCAAACAGTTTTTTTAGAAAGAAGTTAGCTAGACATGGTGGTATGCACCTTGTAGTTCCAGCTACTTGGAAGGCTGAGGCAGAAGGATCATCTCAGCTCAACAGGTCTAGGATATAGTAGCCATGAGCATGTCACTGCACTCCCTCCAGCCTGGGCAACAGAGTGAGATTTTGACTCAAAAGCAAAGGAAAAATACTTCAATTTGATTCTTAGTTATGATGGCTGTAGAGGTGAAAAAAAATACCTCACAAAGATTTATAGCTTCAGACGGAAGAATTGCAGTGTCAGTTATGCTTAGTAACTCCATAATTAGTCCTTTCCGTCAACCATGCTAAATTTTTGCTGTTAGACTTCAAAGAGTATATTTCTATTTTCCATAATCCTATTCTTACAAACTAATCAGAAGGTAATGTTTTATATTTTTAACAAACAGGCTTAAGACCCTCTAAAATTCCTTATTTGAAAGATTTTTAAACAAGTTAGACAATATTTTTAAAGTTTTTTTATTTAGGTGTGTGTATGTTTGAGTTGGAGTCTCATTCTGTTGCCCAGTCTAGGGTGCAGTGGCATGCTCACAGCCACCACAGCCTTGACTTGCTGGACTCAGATGCTCCTTCCGAGTAGCTGTAACCACGGGCCTGCCCCACTACACCCGACTACTGTTTTTATTATAGAGACAAGGTCTCACCAAGTTGCCCAGGCTGGTCACGAACCTGTGGTCTCAGGCAATTCTCTGGCCTCTGCCTCCCAAAGTGCTGGGATTACAGATGTGAGCTATGGCGCCTGACCCAAAGTTTTTAAATAGAAGAGTTTTCCCAAGATACTCGGTATCATTTTTGACAGCTAAAATTGCATAATAGTAGAAATGTTGCATACATCTGTTCTTGTAATTATTCTTTCTTCAATCTTTTTTTAAAAGCAGATACTTTCTTACTCATTGATAACTTTGATTTAGATTGACATTGGTTTTTGCCTCCTAGTGTAGCTAAGACTTTGCTCTAGATAGAAGCTTCAGCTGTGCCATTTTCTTGTTGTTCACTTATGTTTGTATCATTAGCATGTCCTCTAATTGTAGTCTCTCCACAATAATCTTTAAAGCTGCTTGATGGGTGGGTACGGTGGCTCAGTCTGTAATCCCAGCACTTTGGGAGGCCGAGGCGAGAGGATTGCCTGAGCTCAGGGGTTCAAGACCAGCCTGGGCAACTTGCTGAGACCTGTCTCTATAATAAATCAAAAAATAAACCAGGTGTAGTAGTGTGTGCCTGTAGTTCCAGCTACTTGGAAGGCTGAGACTAAAGATCACCTGAGCCCAGCAGGTCGAGACTGTGGTGGCCATGAGCATGCCATTGTACTCCAGCATGGACAACAGAGTGAGATTCCAACTCAAAAAAAAAAAAAAAAAAAAAAATTGTCTTGTTTATCAAAGTGAGATTAGTTAAAGCTAGATTTTTAAAAATTCATTATTTCACATAACTGGTCTCAGATAAACCAGAATATATCACAATATCTAAAAGTGAGCAATGGTACTTTGGCAGCCCTGGGAGGGGAGGGGTTAAGGGAAGGCCTTTCTTTTCTTTTCTTTTTTTTTTTTTTTCTTTTTTGAGAAAGCAGGGTTTATTGAGAGGACAGAAAAGCTCCCAAGGTGGGAGGGGACCCCAGGGGGTTGCCCAAGGGAAGGCCTTTTATGCTTCCCTCAGGTTGTAACTCATACTATGTATAAGGTGTGACGTGTCAACATTTGGATTAAGTGAGGGTGTTAGTGTCAAATTGTGTTTAATTATGGCTTCATTTCTCTCACTTAATTTTTTTCTGTAGCCCTAGTGGATCATCTTGTACTTTGGAAACTAAAACTTTAGACTAATCAAGGCATCCCATAAAATTAGTAAAAATAGCTAGATGGTAGATTGGCATGTACCAGGCTTCAGATTGGCTTGAATGCTGACCCCACCAGGTAGCCACCTGCCACTGAGCAAACCAAACTCTCGGTTGTGTCAACTGTAAAATGGTACTAAGAGTTCTACCAGCCTGCTAAGGTTGTTGTGCAGGCAAAAGAAGATTGTGCATGTTCTGCATTAAGCCTGGCACCCGCCTAACATTCAGCTCTCACCGGGCTAAGCATTAGAAATGCTCCATTTCATAACCTGATGTTCACCTGCAGGTAGGTTACTCTGACTCCAGGCAAACATCCTGAGGGTGGAGTTCTCCTGTTTGAGGTTTCTGTTTGCAAGCCTCAAGAAGACATTGGAGAGAGTGCAGCTCTGCGGTTGTTTTTTCTGCTATTATTCAGAAGCATTCTTAGTGCCTTGTGCGACCTTGTATGAAGCATTGGCCACACAGATCACTTTTTGTAAAGGTACATACTAATAACTTTTTTTTAATACTCCAGGAATAGTACAGAAACATTTTAAAACATCCCCTGGGACAGAAAGGCAAGCACAGACCCTATTTGGATCAAGTTGGTTCCCTGAGCCTGAATGATGACTGCTGAATCAAGGGAAGCCACAGATCTGTCCCCGCAGGCTGCACAGGAGAAGGATGGTATCGTAATCGTGAAGGTGGAAGAGGAAGATGAGGAAGAGCACGTGTGGGGGCAGGATTCCAGCCTGCAGGAGACGCCTCCTCCTGACCCAGAGATATTCCGCCAACGTTTTAGGCGCTTCTGTTACCAGAACACTTTTGGGCCTCGAGAGGCTCTGAGTCGGCTGAAGGAACTTTGTCATCAATGGCTGCGACCAGAAGTAAACACCAAGGAGCAGATCCTGGAGCTGCTGGTGCTGGAGCAGTTCCTTTCCATCCTGCCCAAGGAGCTGCAGGTCTGGCTTCAGGAATATCGCCCTGATAGTGGAGAGGAGGCTGTGACTCTTCTAGAAGACTTGGAGCTTGACTTATCAGGACAGCAGGTAAAAAGAGGTGAAACTTTGTGTGAGCCGGTCATGGACATAGATGGGCACTAGGAGAAAGTTACTGATTTAAAGCAAGTAGTGGTGGTCTTTGTGGTGGTTCTTCTGTCTACTCTCCTTAGATATCAGAGTGTTCTGGCCATCTCTCTGCATCCACAGGGATATTCTTGGTCTTTTCTTTAATATTTTAATTCTTATTTACAAAGTGATTTACCCACAAGCCCAACCTGTTTGTCTTTAGGTCCCTGGTCAAGTTCATGGACCTGAGATGCTCGCAAGGGGGATGGTGCCTTTGGATCCAGTTCAGGAGTCCTCGAGCTTTGAGCTTCATCACGAGGCCACCCAGTCCCATTTCAAACATTCCTCTCGGAAACCCCGCCTCTTACAATCACGAGGTAAGAAGCCAGGCTTCAATTTTGGAGGAAAAAAATGATTCGGGGCTGGGCTCGGTGGCTCAGCCTGTAATCCCGCGCCTTGGGAGGCCGAGGTGAGTGGATTGCCTGACCCCAAAGGTTCAAGACCCGCCTGGGTAACTTGGCAAGACCTCATCTCCACAATAAATCAAAAATTAGTCGGGCGTGGAGGCGTGTGCCTGTAGCTCCAGCTGCTTAGAAGGCTGAGACAGAAGGATCGCCAGAGCCCAGCAGGTCGAGGCTGCGGTAGCCGGGAGCGGCCACTACACTCCAGTCTGGGTGACAGAGTGAGACTCCGACTCAAAAAAA